CGTTGGAAACGACATGAGTGGAAGCGGAGGAATGAATGAAGCGGTTGAAACGGAGCAAAAAGCATACAGACTTGGAAGACGTGGAATGAAGTGGCTAAAGGAATCGGAGATCGAAAAAATCTGCCCGTTGAACATCGAAGAACGACTTTCATGTTTGGCGTGGGATTTATGGGGATCCACTGGACAGTGTTGGGGCAATTCTTGGGATGACGTGGAAATCGGAGATTGCTTCTTGTTCCTAGTAGCTTCTTGTTACTCATAGAAATGCCAGGAGCCCCTAGTAGCGTCCGATCGATCCTACCCCCCCCGCGCGCACGCGAAAAGGTTCTAGTAGCTTCTTGTTTCAATTCTAATTAAACTCTAATTAGATTTCGATTTTTAATTCTAATCTTAATTTTCTTCTTGTTCCTAGTAGCGATGCCCTTGCTCCTAGTAAGGCCAGGAGCCCCTAGTAGCGATGCTGTTCCGCCTATGCAGCCGCCACGGCCACCGTGACTGACCGCGTCAGGCTGAAGCGGAGCGGCGCTTGAGAGATGCGGAGGCCAAGCGGGACACCGTTGAGGCCATGATGCTGGAGGAGATCGTCATTGAAGAGCACCCGGGCCCAAGGAAGAAGAAGAAGAAGAAGAAGAAGAAGAAGAAGTAGAAGACGAAGACGAAGAAGAAGAAGAAGAAGAAGTTGAAGACGAAGACGAAGACGAAGAAGAAGAAGAAGAAGAAGAAGAAGAGGAAGAAGAATAGGAAGAAGAGGACAACAAAGAGTAATAGAGGCATAGCGGAAAAAATAAAGTACTACAGCAACACTTAAGAAGATACTCCACAGAATTGAATGCTACTTTGAGTGTGGCGTCGAAGCTTTTTCTCATATTCATGGTTTGGTAGTGGGAAGCGGTAGTACAGAGCGTGGGTCATGCCCCAGATGATGTTCTGTTTGGGTGGATCAGCCATCAGGTACAGTAAGTTCTCAATTTGTTTTGGGCAAATTCTCTCAACAAGAAGCTAGTAGTAACAAGTGCCACGCTAGTAGTAACAGGTGCCAACGAATCGTTGAACAACAGACACAGATTCGGGATTATACAGTAACCGAACAGGAAACCTTGGCCATGGGGATCGTTCCCAGAGAGAACTCCTGGATTTCAACCATAACAAAAGTAAGAAAGATCAGAGTAAAAGAGGCATAAAGTTCCAACAGAACAAGCGGAAGAATGGAAGAACGAAAAGGAAAAGAAAGAGAAGAAGGGTTCCCAGAAATGAGGAAAGACAGAAAAGCAAGGACATGTTCAAAGATTGAAACAAGACACAAGGAAAAAGGACAGATACGTGGCATTAGTTCTGTTAACTTAACTTTCTTTTCTTCTTCTTCTCTCATAATTGGAGGCCATCGCTATTAGGTGAGAGCCAATGAGACTATTTTAGTTTCTTCTTTCCTCATATCGCTCCAAAGGTTGAGCCGCTGGCAGTTGGGCAACGAGGCGGCTGCTGCGGTCAGTGGCGGAGGAGGCTCCTCTGTGAAGCGCCCGGGATTCCTGGAGGGGAAGAACGACCACACCAAGTTTTACATTCTTAAAACTTTAATTACATGTTCATATTATTTAAAAATTATTCATATTTAACAATTCTTCCTTCTTGTTTCAGCCTATTTTTACCAAACAGTTTACTGTTAGGGGTTCTCAATTCTTTCTTAAGATGTGTCCGCCCTTTGTGTCACTGCTGGTGTCCGCCCTTTTCCGCTGGCCATGTAGCATGTCTACTCATTTGTTTTCCAAGTCTGTCCGCCCTTTTCCGCTGGCCACGCAGCGTTTCTATTCATTTGTCCGCACAATGTCACTGCTGGTGTCCGCCCTTTTCCGCTGGCGATGCAACATTTCTTTTCATTCCCCACATAGTTTGCC